TCCATCCTCCTACTTTCAGTAGCCTAGCTATAGAGGACGCACAAGGCTTTCTAGAGAAGTGCCACTGTATTCTCCGTACCATGGGTATAGTGGAGATTAGTGGGGTGACTTTCACTACTTTCCAGCTATCGGGACGAGCATACCAGTGGTGGCGGGCTTATGAGGAGGGTAGCCCTGCCGAGGCAGCTTCACTCACCTGGGCTCAGTTTTTAGAGATGTTCCTGAGAGAGTTTGTTCCCAGAGCCACTTTTGTGTTAGCCTTACCAATGATGGATCAGAGTTCAACTGAGTTTAGGAAAATCCCGGTTAGGCGGGGAAGACCTCAGTGCTGAGTCTAGGCAAATCCCATGCGGTGGGGAAAACCTCAACGAGAGCGCTGAGTCCATAAGAGGGAGTGCATGTAACACCCCCAGACTTTAGACAGAGTCCCACATCGGCAAAATACAAGAGGGATGCTGGGTATATAAGTTAACAAGTCTTAGACTCTAGTGACACATTTTAAACTCGTGAGTGCCTAAGCCTAGATCGGGCAATATCACTAGCGAGTTGGGCTGTTACAAATGGTATTAGAGCAGCTGGCTCAGTTCTATATTCACGAGATTTTCAGGCATCATGGCGTGCTGGTATCTATTATCTCTAACCAGGGTACGCAACTCACATCGCGGTTCTGGAGGGCCGTACAACATGATTTGGGTACGCGGGTGGAGTTGAGTACATCATTTCACCCTCAGACGGACGGACAGTCTGAGCGCACTATTCAGATATTAGAGGATATGCTTCATGCGTGTGTGATAGAGTTCGGGGGTTCTTGGGATTAGTTTTTGCCGCTCGCGGAGTTTGCCTCTAACAACAGTTACCACTCGTGCATTCAGATGGCTCCGTATGAGGCTTTGTATGGGAGACGATATCAGTCTCATGTGGGTTGGTTTGAGCCGAGTGAGCCCTGACTATTGGGTACATACTTGGTTCTGGAAGCTTTGGAAATGGTTAAATTGATTCAAGATCGGCTTCGCACAGCCTAATCCAGACAGAAGAGTTATGCAGATTGGAAGGTTCGTGACGTTGAATTCATGGTTAGGGAGCGGGTCTTGCTCCGAATTTTGCCCATGAAAGGTGTTATGAGGTTCGGGAAGAAGGGCAAGTTGAGCCCTGGGTATATCGACCCTTTGAGATTCTTGAGAGGATTGGAGAGGTGGCTTACAGACATGCACTACTACCCAGTCAAGCTGCAGTTCATCCAGTATTTCATGTTTCTATGCTCCGAAAGTATCACGGCGATCAGTCTCATGTATTGAATTTCAGCTAAGTCCAGTTGGACAAGGATTTGTCTTATGTTGAGGAGCCGGTGGCCATTTTGAACAGGCAGGTTCGAAAGTTGAGGTCGAAGAACATTGCTTCAGTGAATGTTCAGTGGAGGGGTCAACCAGTCGATGAGGCGACTTGGGAGACCAAGAATAATATGCGTAGCCATTATCCTCATATTTTTACCACTTCAGGTATGTCTCTATAATCGTTCGAGGACGAACGTTTGTTTTAACAGTAGGAGGATGTAACAACCCGGCCGGTAATTTCGAGTATTTTAGCCCTGATCCCCTAATTTATGCTCCCTATATGTTATGTTGTGGTTATGTAATTTGCTAGGATGTTTGATTTTGATTTCGGGTGAGTTTCAGAGTGAAATGGAACACATAGTTCCTAAGTTGGAGGCTTAAGTTGAAAGAGTTGACCGTAGTTTGACTTTTATGTAGATGACTCTGGAATGGAATTTTGACAGTTCCAATAGGTCCTTATGGCGATTTTGGACTTAGGAGCGTGTCCGGATGTTGATTTGGAGGTCCGTAGGTCGTTTTGGCTTGAATTGGCGAAAGTTAGAAAGTTGAAGGTTTGGAAGGTTGAGAAGTTTGATCGGGAGTTGACTTTATTGATTTCGGGTCGGATTCTGATTCCGGAAGTTGGAATAGGTCTTTCATGTCATTTATGACTTGTTTACTAAATTTGAGGTCAATTGGAGTTGTTTTGGTGTGATTCGGCTTTAGTTTTGTAAGTCGGATGTTCATAGTTTCAATAGGCTTGAATTGGGTTGCGATTCGTAGAATCGATGTTGTTTGATGTGATTTTTGGCCTCGAGTAGGTCCGTTATGTGTTTTGGAACTTGTTGGTATATTCGGACGGGGTCCTCGGGACCTCGGGTGTGATTCAGATTAAATCCAGAATAATTTTGGACTTGATGGATTGCTAAACCTGCTGCTATTCTGGTGTCATCGCACCTGTGGAGGGTTTGGACACAGGTGCGTGAGGATGATCGCAGAAGCGGCCTTGAGTGAGCGTTGCTGGGATCGCAGGTGCGAGGTGATTTCCGCACCTATGAGTCCGCATGTACGGAGGAGCTGGTTGTAGATGTGGACTAGGCCAGCTTGGTCTATTATCACATAAGCAGAAATCATCCGCAAGAGCGGGTGCGCAGAAGCGCCCATATGTCCGCAGGAGCGGAAGTCTAGATGCGTGTTTTGTCCGCAGAAGCAGAGAGTGCTGGACCTTAGTGAGGACCGCATTTGTGATAGAAATTCAGAAGGTGCGGAGCCGCAGATGCGGCTGTGGGTTTGCAGATGCGAAATCGCTGGGTAGAAAAGGGCTTAGATCGAGGGTTTCATCTCATTTTTATTTTTGGACCTAGAGAGCTCGATTTGTGGCGATTTTTCGAGGGTTTTCAAGAAAATCATCGGGGTAAGTGATTCTAACCCTGTTTTGGCTATATTACATGAATCCATTATTATTTTCATCATTTAATTAGTGATTTGAGTTGAAAATTTGGGGGGGAATTGTGAAAACTTCATAGACGAAATTTTGGGAATTTGAAAGGCGATTTCAAGTCGGATTTGAGTAATTCTCATGTGGTTAGACTCATTATCGAATAGGTGTTCAGATTTTATAATTTTTGTCGGGTTTCGAGACGCGAGACCGAGGTTAACTGTTTGAGTTGACTTTTTATTTCTCTTTAAATATCGTAACTTTATTATTCGGAATAGTTTCATATAGTTTATATTTATGGTATGAAGTTGTTTTAGCTAGATTCGAGCCGTTCGGAGTTAGATAATCGAGGGAAAGGCTTACTAGTGGATTGAGTAGCGTGTTTTGAGGTAAATATCTTACTTAACTTTATGTGGGGGAATTACCCCTTAGGATTGGTGTTGTTTTGTGTTAATTGTGATATGTGGAAGCCATGTACGCAAGGTGACGAGTGTGTACACGGGCTAAATATGGTAATTGACCGGTTTTAGCTATGTAGATTCCTTTCATGCCTTTAGTTGAGTTACCATAATATGTTATATTCATCATCGTTAGTCTATCTTCACATGCTTTACTTATCTTATCCCTTACTTGTTAATTGTCTTTACATGTTTAGTTAAAGTTATTGGTTTATCTATTCCGTATTTATTATTTAACCGTTGAGTTCCTTACTTGAAGTTGTTATTCTTCCTTACTTGAAGTTGTTATTCTTCGAATTATCTTATTGTTGAAATTGGTATCAAGTTATGAAGGTCGTGATTCACATTGAGGCAAAGTTGTAAAGTTGTGAAATGCCATTCTGGTTGAGTTGTTCACTTTCGGTCTTTATTGTTGAGACTTTTGTGCATATCGTGGATGAGTCAGGGCTATTTATTGTGAAAACACTATTATTATTGATTTCTTTGGCAAGTTGTGTTATTGGGCATTTGAGGTGCAATTTGTGATACGTTATGATATTGATGCGCATACGGTGAGATAAGGTGGACGTGATACGCGTGGCTAGTAGAGCAACTACTAGAAGTCATGTGGTGTGATAAGGTGGGATAAAACGCGGGATGCTATTTCGGAAAAAAAAAATTTCAAAACTAAATGCAAAGGCTCTCGCGGTGATATAAGGAAAGATTGTGATTTATTTTTTTGTGATTGAGACTACGAGGCGGTACTTCGGTAGTGACTCTTGTTGACATTTCCTCATTCTTTGTACTTGTCTTTGATTGGTATTTCCTTAGCATATTATTATTTGTCTTTCTCTGTGTTATACTATTTGCTTATCTCTGTGTATTAAATCTTGTTACGCTATTCGTTGTTTCAATTTTATTATTGTTTTTATCACATTGTCTACAATTGTTGAGTCTTTTATTTATTTTCAATAGGGCCCTGGCCTGACTTACCGAGGTTAGGGTTGGTACTTACTGGGTATCGTTGTGGTGTACTCATACTAATCTTCTGCATATTTTTTTGTACAAATCCAGGTACTTCTTACTAGCCCAGGCACTAGTCGGGATTCTACTGCGGAGACTTCAAAGTATACTTGCCGGCGTCTGCAGGCCTCAGAGCCCCCTTCTTTCTAGATCTCTTATTTCATTATCCTTTATATATATAGACACGATATATAGGATTACCCAGTATTTATACTTAGAACTTGTGACTTGTCACTACTAAAAAAAGTCTTTTAGCGGCAATTAATATGCTCTTTAGCGGCAATAAGATTTGCCGCTAAAAATATTTACCGGCAATTAATTTTTGGCCAATGTAGCCAGTGTCACTAAAGACTTTAGCGGCCATTGGACGAAATGCTGATAAAGATCCCTTTTATTGCCGCTAAAAGTACTTAGTTTTAGCGGTAATTATTTACCGACAATTAAAATGGCCACTAAAAATCCCCTAAGATATCCAATATTATACATTTTATGACTTTTGTTATTGCCGATAAAGACCCATTCATTTGACGGTAAAAAGAGCCCTTTTAGCGGCAAATGTTAGGGGCACTAAAACTATATATGAGCTAGCTTTTGTTCATATATTTAAAGGCTTTTGTTATGGCCGGTAAGAATCCATCAAATTGCCAGTAAAAGAGGACTTCTTAATGAACTTTCTTATTGCTAGTAAGCATTAAGAAAGGTTCTTTTCATAACATGTAATGCACATTATCCATATTGAAATTTAATTATAATAAGAATAAGATTCAATCTCATAAAACTTATTACACTTAATTAAATACACAACAAAATCTACTATTTCATAATTTTAAAGTGTCTACAACATAACCAAAAAGGTAACATATTTGAATTAAATAACTAGCGTAATTTGGCACCTAATAACTGGCATTATCAAATAGCTATAATACTATATATAAATGGTGCCATGAAAGTTTCTCCAACTCTAGATCATGATGCAATTTTCCACATGCCAGATATCTGAACAACTACTTAATCTCTAGCAAACGTTCAAAGAATAGTTGTTTGCCTTCTCATGCCATATACTACCTCACCACTAGTCTACTGGGCTATATGCCTTGTATACTGCACTACCTTTATAGGAAATAAATCAAAGCACAAAATTAGTATTTGTTTTGTTGTAGTGGTAAGCTATGACTAGTGTGATAATTGCACAATTATTTTAAAACTGATAATCATAAAATAGACTTAAGCACTCCCAGGGAAACTTCTGAAATTTAGCAACAAAGCATGCACTGACGAATTTGGTAAGTGCTAACTGTCAAAGCATTGTGTTCCTCATTCAGTTATATGTTTTGCGTGCAGACTTTGAAACCAACACAACACACACAAATAAAGAACCTCAAAACAAATTTTAATTAACAACAGAAGGTCCATCTTTGAGGATCTCAACAATCTATACTATGTGACAACTAGCAATTTTAAGTTAATTTTTCACAAAACTGCTTACTTTTGTGCTCTAAACTAACAAGACCACATGCTCAGGCTGCCACTCATTCGCAACTATGTGAAATGGTAAGAATTTAATCTGAATCGGGACCAAGCTAAAAATATAATAAATTTTTATTTTTAGTTGTCCGGTCAATACGATAGGTGGCATTACTTGATTCTTTTTATATTTTATAAATTTACTTATATTCGGTCACTAGAATGAAATGGTTGATGTCTGTTTGGTATATAAATGTTTGATGCCTGTTGATAAACAAATACTGATAATTTTTTTTTATGAAGTAATATAAACAAATATTGATAATTTCTGTATAACTTTTTCTTATTTGACTTTCTAAAATCTTTTATTTCAGAAGACATTACCATATTAGATCAGTACAAATACAAACAAGTTTTGTTTTTTTCTTTTTGGACAGTTAAAGAGTAATCCTAGCAATTCCTACTTAAAAGTTAATAAGGGAGTGCTGAGATGATACTTATTGTATACAACTTGTTCAAGAATGCATAGAAATGACCTCCTACCATTTTAATATAAATTAATCTGAATTTCAAGGCTTAGTAAGATGTCATTAGAACCATAAACACTAAACAAATATATAAAAAAAATTAGAAGCAGAGTAAAGCCCTCAAATACCTTGATGGTTTTTTCCTTTACCACTTGAATGAGGTTCAGAGGTATCCATGCCTCCAACTTTGAGTTTCTCACAGTCCTCTATCATATATATGTCCATTCCCTTTCTACTTCCCGCTTTGGTACTTGATAACTAGAATCAGAAGATAGATTCCAATAATGAGTGACTCTGAAGAATATACATGTACGAATATATTGGACAAAAATAGCTATTTATAATTAATTACCCAAATGTTTGTTCACATCACTGGGGGAATATTGGACAAACTCAATTCTGCATATGCTATTGATCGATCTCGAGAAGGATGAAAAAGATGAACAAAAAAATAAAAACAAGGCAGAAATAAAATGTGAATGAAAGTGGATCAAGAAAAGAAAAGGAAAAATAAGCAACTCATATTGTATTCACCAACATATTACATCATAGCTCCAATCATATTAAAGAATTTAGAAGTTTTAGAATTGGTTAACATCGCTATCCTAACAGACGAGCAACATGACTAAAACCAAGGAGTTAACTACTACATGTTTCTCTTATTATACCATGGATATTATAGCGATAGCAAGTTGAAGAACATAAATAAGCAATATAAATTTAAATAGAAAAAAAGAAAAGGAATCTTTACTTTGAAATTGCATTTATGCCGTTTATGTAGCTTGTTCATGGTAGCGATTTGCATCGAGAATGTCACGACCCAAATTCCATTAGAGGTCGTGATGGCGCCTAACACCACTTTCAGGCCAACCAACAATAATTGATTAACTTAATTACTCATTTCACTATTTTTGAAATCATAATTTTCTTCAATTAAATAGTAAGAGATAGACTTTACAAAGTAAATGATAGTATTTTCACAACTACAATACTGAACAGCCCATAATCACCCCCAAAACCCGGTGTCACAAGTACATGAGCATCAACCAAGAAATATATTAGAAATACAACATCTGTTTGAAAGTATAATTAGACAGGAGAGGGTAGATAACTCTGATGGAGACTCTGTGTGCTGCGAATTCGCAACATGGGATGCAGCTCACCTAAGTCCCCCAAAATAGCCGCGCCTCTGCGCCCACAAGTCTGCTAGACATATACGCGTCTGCACAAAAATGTGCAGCAAGTGTAGTATGAGTACGTAAATCAATACGTACCCAGTAAGTATCTTGTCTAACCTCGAAGAAGTAGTGACGAGGGGTCGACTCCGATACTTACTATGGTCTAACAATAAATAACGATATTATACTTAAGCATGGATTATATGAAACAGTTGTAAACTCAATAACAAGAAGTGAGTGGACAATTCTTTTATTAATAGGAATTTTTTTCAAATTTATTATCGTCATTTAACAATTTATATCTCAATCCAAAGAAGTAATATCAATTATAATTGGTTCCAAAGATTTATCATGCACAAATTATGCCGAGGTCGTACGACCTGATCCAACATAATATTTAAACTGTGCACTGCCGAGGGTCGAACGACACGAACCATAGATGCATCTGCTACCGAGGCATTCGGCCCGCTCCACAAATAGAAAATATTTTAAGGAAAACACAAATTCTCAATAACAGTCAAGTGTTTCATTCACAATTTCAAGTAAGTGAAATTTAATTCTTTTATCAGGTTTCAAGAGAATTAAGCAATTAAGTTAACAAGTAGGGTACAAACATTGTAAGTATAGCATGATATGAGTCCTAGACTACCCGGACAATAGCATAATTAGTAGCTACGTACGGACTCTCGTCACCTCGTGCGTACGTAGCCCCCACAAATAGAATCACCTTTTAATTCAATTCACCTATGGTTAATTCCCTCTTACAAGGTTAGAAAAGAGACTTATGTAGCCTCAAAGCCTACTTTCCGGTCCAAGATTATGCTCAAACCCTCAATTTGGTGCCGAACAATCCAAAACTAATCAAATAGTATATAAACTAATCAATACATGTTCAAAAGTTCATATTCCAACTATTAAAGTGATTACCCAACCCTAAAAAGGAAATAGGTTCACATAAATTGAAACGGATGGAGTATATGATTCTTTTTACTACATTCCATAACCAATTTCGTGGCCAAATCCCATTTTTATCCAAAACCTAGGTTTTCATCTAAACCCCTTGATTTTACATAATTTTTACATGTTAATCTACCAATAATCTATGTATTTAACTCATGTTGTATAGAAATTACTTACCTCAAAGTGCTAGGTGAAAACCCCCCTTCCAAGAGCTCCAAAATCGCCCAAAAGATGAAAGAAAATGAGCTAAATGGCCTAAGTCCCGCATTTAATAGAGCTGTGCACAGATCTCACATGTCGCATTTGCAACACCTGGTTCACAAATGCGAAGGTCGCAAATGCGACAAACTCATCGCAAATGCGAACCTGGGCTCCCACTGCCAAGGTCGCAAATGCGACCAAGGGGTCGCAAATGAGAACACTACCAAGGTCGCAAATGCGACGAAAGTGTCGCAAATGCGACCAAAGTGTCGCAAATGCGAACATTGCCCAGCACAGGCTTCTTCGAAATTGCGAAGCCTTCCTCGCAAATGCGAGGTTCTCAAATGCGAACACATTCTCGCATTTGCGAGACCCGCAACAGCTGCCAAGAAACATCAGAAAAACTGAAGTTTTTCTCATCCTCCCGAATGTCTGAAACTTACCCGAGCCCTCGGGGCTCCACACCAAACACCCACACAAGTCTAATAACACCATACAAACTCGCTCGAGCGATCGAAACACTGAAATAACATCAAAAACCACGAATCGGACGCCAAAACACATGGATTAACTCATGAACTCAAAAACTTCTAAAAATACTTACGCGCGTCCGATTCCTATCAAATCAATTCGAAATGATGCCAATTTTGCGTGCAAGTCTTAAATGATATTACAGACCTACTCCAACTTCCGGAACCAGAATCCGAACCCGACATCAAAAAGTCCACCCTCGGTCAACCTCTCCAAAAACTTCAAATTTTTATTTTTCGCCAAATGACCCCGAAACGACCTACGGGCTTCCAAATACACTTCCGGACGCGCCCCTAAGTCCAGAATCATTATACGGAGCTATTTCCAGGATCGAAATCCCAAATGGATATCGATAACATTGAAATGCACTTCAACCCAAATTTATGAAATCCTTTCAAAATGCCAACTTTCCACAATAGGCGCCAAAACGCACCTGGGTCATCCAAAACCCGATCCGGATATACGCCCAAGTCCAAAATCATCATACGAACCTGTTGGAACCTTCAAATCCAGATTCCGAGGTCGTTTACTCGAAATCACACCTTAGTAAATTCTTCCAACTTAAAGCTTCCGAAATGAAAATTTTCTTTCTAAATCAACTCTGAACTTCCCGAAATTCAATTCCGACCACACGTACAAGTCATAATACTTGAAATGAAGATACTCATGGACTCAAACTGCCGAACGACGCGCTAGGGTTCAAAACGACCGGTCGGGTCGTTACATTCTCTCCCACTTAAACATACGTTCGTCCTCGAACGTGCTAAGAACTGTTCTGGAGTTGTCTGAAATCACCGTTTAACACCTCGTACACCTACCTCTGCTACCACAACTCAGTTGAGCACATTAACTCGATCCAATCTGAAGAGCTTCCCCTTTATTTAGTCAAGTCTTAGAGTCAAATTCCAACATCCAAAATTCTCCACCAGGCCTGTTTCCAACATACGAACACCGTATCAATCACTACACACTGCACCAAACATGATTGTATACCCTTACTGAATTCTTACCATGCACCGCGTAACTTATTTTCCCGAGGCAATCTTTCTAAATAAAAACAACTAAAATTTCCATGAACCCGAAGCCCGTAGTGTACCTCATGACCAATTAAGCCTTGCTTTAACTCTCGCAATACAGCCACGACAGAGAAGATGTGTAGAACTCATAATCACCTGTCGAATCACAATTTATGGAGTCTCTCCTCCCGACAAGAATCATTACCTTATTCTAGACTGAATAACAATATTTACTCTTTAATATGACTTATATAAATCTGATCGCACTGATCTCAGGTCCAATAATCGCGTTTCACCCAGTACAAACTGCTCAGGCAATAAGCCACCTCAGATACTGCAAAAGCCTCATATGATGCCACATTGTGCTAACAAGCTACAAACTCGAATGTGATACATAAGAAAAACGAACTCTGGAATAAACTACTCAACCCACATAACTAATTTAATAACCGAAAAGATGTTATGAACCTTCCTCAGAAATGAGACACAAAACATACAAGAATAGCTATGGAAAACTGTACTCAACGTCACACTGTTGCGGCGTGCAACCCGATCCACACATGATACCGTTGCGACGTGCAACCTGATCCAACCATGATACCTGTGGCGGCGTGCCACCCAATCCAAACAACATACCTGTGGCAGCGTGCCACCCGATCTACACATAATAATCTAAAGAAAACACACATCGATCCATAACTGTTATACTCACGAAATGCCTGAGTATCAACCATAGACACGCCAAGTGCATAATACAAATCCTGGGGTATAAAACTCAAGCACAACTAAGGTACGATATATGATCTGCATCTCGAGAGCCATCCTGCTCACATAACACCACCGCTACACGGGACCTCAACACATTGTACAAATAATCAAGTCGTCTCTCAACCCACATGGCACAATAGAGTATTACATGAAATAGCTGGCGATGAAATTAACATCCCAAGCCTGAATACTCTTCCATAAGGAATGTTATGCTGAATGAACACACCCAGGCTGGTGTAGAGTACACATCCACATTTGGACCCATCAACGGACCTCGAACCGATTCTGATCATACCATGCTTGGGCAAATAACCTCTCAAGGAACCACAATGACCCTTTTCCCATGACACGCAAGAACAACCGTCGAATCCGCAACAAACTTCCACAATTCACAACCAACTGAATAGAGCGCCTTTTTCAGGCCTAAACCCTCACATTAGCGATAGTACAAAAATCTCATGTACTTGGTTTCAATCTTTAATCAATCAAGTGACTACATGTCACACTTATACAATCTTCATGTGGGATACGCTTCCACGACCCTCCACGCCAGGTAACAAGTCTGCACCTCCATACCGCCGGCCACATTAATGTTGTAAAGCAA